AGTGGTCAAGCATTGGAACAGGCTGCCTAGGGAAGAGATGCCATCCCTGGCAGCATTAAAGAAATGTGTAGATGAGGCACTTAGGAGGGTAGTTTAGCAGGCATGTGGTGTTCAAGGGCTTGCAGTTGAACTTGATCTTGAAGGGTCTTTTCCAACCATAATCTATATAATACTAAACAATTTTTCTTGTGAGTAACAAGCATCCTGGGTGCGCATTCACTTTGTTCCTGAAGTGCCAGGCAAGCAAAAGGTAAAATAGAATTTTTAAGCTTTTAGCTACAATTTTGGGGAAAAGTTAATGGAAGTACAGAATGCTGTTGTGGCTAAAAGTGGCAACTGCATTACTAGGTGCTTTGCCTCAACCCAAATTCCAGTGCTGTCTTGGCCATCGCAGAGCAGAATTGAGCACCTCTTGGAAAAAGAGTCTTTCTAGCCTTTCACTACATCTTTGAGAAGAAGTCTGTTGGATGAGGCAAATGTCCAACACCAATATACATGGTAGTGATTAAGCTTTTTTTTTTTTTTTTTTAAAAAAAACTTCTTGCTCAGAGGATTCTTTCAAATCTTTAGTTTTATCAGGAATTTGCTTGCTAGCAGTGCATCCAGCAGTCTTTGCTACGCTTAGTGCGGCATCAGAAATTAATTTCCTTCCAAATTCGTGGTTGCTATTTCTTCCTCATCCACTAAGGGGCAGTTGGAGTCCTGAATGTCAGCCCTTGAAAAGATAACTTACACATGGCTTCTGTTTCTTCTTCTCTGCCACCCCATTAAGGGTATTAAGTATATTATATTTGCTTGTTATTTCACCTGTAAGTTAGTTCTCTGGTGCACCACAGCAAACCCCCTCCCATCAAGTCCTAACTGAGCTGCTGTTGCCAACGGCTTCCAACCCCTGCTGATGGTTTCTGTTGTATCCTGATTTCTCTTCCTTCCCTTTCCATTTTAAAGAGTTTTAATCTTAAGGTGCTTGATTCAGTGCATGCCATGCTTTGTTCTTCGTGCTTCAAGTGAATTCTGCCAGCCTTGAAGCACACAAAAACAGTGATTGCCTTCAGCTTCCTGCAGTTATACAGGAGTGCTTGGAAACCGCAGGATTGCACAAGCTCTTTTAGTCTGTCCGCCCTAGGAATAGTAGGCTCACAAATATCCTGAAGTAAAGAGTGGGGTATTTTTTTTTCCCCTCTGAACTTGAAAACATCTTACTTTTTGAGTAAGAGTTGCTGGTAGTTCAGATGCTGCATACCCTCTAAGTTTTCTACTTTGTTTTGTCAGCAAGGAAGGGAACATTGATTACAGAATCCCATTTGAACTTGCTTAGGGAATCCTGCAGTGTCCCAGACATTTATCTTCAACCCTTAAAAACAGTCTGGATTACAGAGCATCTCGTGTGAATGAAATTGATTCTTGCAACAAATTCATTTGATGCAGTTTGTTTTGCTTATAAGGAAAAACCAGTTGAATCAGACAAAGCCTGGTTTTATACTGGTGGGAATCTGTGCAAGACTTTATTAAAGTCTAAAATCATACTTTTAATGAATTCGGGTTGATTTTTTTTTTCAGATTATTCTAATAAGCCAGTTCCCGAGAGGAGTCTTGTTCTAGGTCTCTTGTTCCACTTGGAAGGTGGAACAACTTCCTCTCAGGGTGATGAAGAGCACCCATATAGGGTGTTAGTGTGTAATAGCCAGAAGCTTATAGATTACCATCTTAGTGTACTGTGTACAAACCCCTTTTTGTAGAGGAGTTTGAAATGAGACAATTTCAATTGTCTGTCCTCATAAAGAACAGTGCTTAAAAAGGCATTTATGTGATTTAACTAGTTTTTGTAAACTGACACTTTTATTTACTGTAGCTTTCTTAAATGTTCTCACCAAAGCTTGCATGAGGACAAAGTTGTCTGTTTGATGGCCATATTTTCTCAAATACGAAAGCTTGCATGAGGACAAAGTTGTCTGATGGCCATATTTTCTCAAATACACTATACAAAATAGGCATATTTTTGCAAATATGTTTTTCCTACACATTAGAAAAAAAGATATTTGACAGACTGTCAGTTCATGTTTTGAGATTTCATCTTACTAACAATAAAATTGCTGCTTTCTGTTGCTGATCTTGTTGTAGTTTTCCCAGAGTCAGACTTGACTCTCAGAAATGGGATCTTGAGGCAGCCATGGCAATTCATGCCCCATCTAGACTATCTAGGTCATTTATGTAGATGCCTAGAAATTGATTTTAAAGCCTAGTTTGAGCACTGTTTTTTAAACATCTGATCCAGCCAATTACTGATCTTCTCAGGTAAATTTTTGAACACTAGGTAGAAATATCTGCAGGAATACTGGAGCCTTTCATTTACTTATAGACCTCAAATTCTGAAATTTTAGGCATAGCAGATTTGGTGACATATCCTGCACTGAAGTAATGCATGCCATAGAGCATGGAGCAGTGGCAGGGCATCAGTGACCAGAAAGGTATGTGTCATTGCTCACCAACAGTCTCAGCTGTAAAAGCTCCCCTGAACCATGGCTGTGAATGTGCTGGCCTGTGTCAGCGCAAGCAGCTGCCAGGGGTAGTTCCATGTCCCATTACATCTCATCCCCTTTCTGGTGCTTCCATTGTAAAGTTTCAGAAAGAAAGCTTCTCCCACATGTACATTGTAGCAGTACTAATGATATTGAGCATAAGTTGCTTTCAACTACTATAACAATGCTTCATTGTATTGTGTTAATTGCAGTTTCAAGTGCTTCACAGTTTGCAGGAATAATTCACTGGATCAGCCTAGTCATCCTGTCTGTTTTCTTTTCAGAGGTATGTATAATCAAAAATCTCACTACATACAGAAATGCAATGTATTTCTTGTGCTGTTACTGAATTTTGTGACAGTTTAACATTGATTTGGTTGTGAATAAGTACAGCACAGTGCACACTGTACTTTAAAAGGGAAAAAAAAGCCATTCTTAATCAGCAAATTAAAAGGTTCTGTTTATCAGTGCTCTTTTTATCAGTTGCCTAGAATTGTCATGGAAGTGTGAAAGATACAATCTTACAAATTATAAAAGAAATGCTATACAAAAAAAAAAATCTGAGTCACCACAGATTAGGGTAAGGCTCCCCTGTGTTTCCCCCTGAAGTTTCATTGCAGTGTTCCCACAAAAATCTTGCTACTATCACTGTAAGAGTTTTTCAGGAGTAAAGACCCCTAGACTTATTCTGTAGAAAAATCTGTTATAAGAATAGAATTATCTCATCTCACAATGTACATACATTTTTTTAATACCTCAGCTGTGTTTCTAGCATATAGAAAGAGATAAGCCCTTTAGGAGAATGAAACATATGGTGAATTTCTTTGCAAATACCTATATGATTGTATGTACTGGAAAAGGCTGTAGTCCTGATATAACAAATGACTAAATTGGGTAATTAGTTTTAGTTTTCAACTTTATTCCAAAAAGAACCCAAACAGATAATTTGGGACATTTCTGAGGTAGTGTAATTGTCTCAATACAGATGATTTATTTTTTTCTAGGACTTAATCTATTGTTACGAAGACTCTGCTATATATTTGATTCTTAAGTTATATTTTCTTTTGTGGTGGAAGACAGTTTGGAGTTACCTATTTAAAAAACACATTTTCTAGTTCCACAAGAGAATATTATCTGAAAATAAGGTAGTCTTTGCTCTGGTAAATCTAGGGTGAAGGTTTAAAAAAAAATAAAATAAAAATCAGAAACTAGGAACTGTGATATGTACATATGATCAGATAAATAACGTGTGTAGAGTTCATGCTCACAATATTACACCACTGTTTATTTCCATGCTTTTAGTAGTAAAATACCTTTCTCTACATACATAGTATCACTTTGTATTTCTGCTAGAGCCAGGGATTATAGCTAGTGTTGCCAGACTGCCAGTGCGCCCTTTCTGGAAGGAAAAAGGAGAGGTGGTGCAAGTGCTTTCCATCCTGGCCTTGTGGGTATTGCAGTTCCAGCTGGAGATATGCTTCGTTTCTACTGTTCACATCCCTTGCCAAGGAGCAAGAGTTCTGGAGTACATGGAAACTCCTGGAACCCAAATCTCTAAAATGAAAAGTTTAGCAGCGTTTTTGCTTTGTTCATCACACATTCTGATTCTTGAAGGTTCATATTTGCCGGATGAAGTCACTTCTGTGTAAAGAAGTCCCTTCCTCTTGCGCCCTAAATCTTTTATTCCTCCAGTGAGGATCAGCACCCTGGAGCTCCCCAAGCTTCTTGCAGGATCAGCCTGAAACTGCACCGGCAGCAGCAGCGTTGCACGCACGTGCTCCACTCCCTCCAAAGGGAATGTCTTCGTCTCTCCCTTCCATGCTGCCTTTCATACCCTGACAGTTTTTGGTAGCTTGCATGTGGCAGCAGCAGCACATCCTTGTGGCCAGCATGGATATCATACCTGCCACAAGAGATGAGTTGTGTCAGTTCTCTTGAGACAAGAGCCTGCATGAGGGGATGGACCGACTCTGAAATACTCTGCAGGAAGCCAGTAACAGTACTTCAAATTGTAAAAGCTGATTGCTTGCTCATTACCCTCATTTTGTACACGTGTTTTCTTCTTGCATTAGGCATTTAGAATTATTTTTCTCTATGTGCCTGCTGTCTTTTGCATAAACCTCTTATCACCCATTTTGTTATTTGTTTCTGTCTTTCACCTGATTGGTTATGGTGTGAATTTGCGATGATGACAGATGGGGCTGTGGGAGGTAAAAGGGAGAGTGGATCTGGGGAAGCTGGCTCTGCAGATGAATCTGGGGCAGCTCAGAGTCAGTAACTGAGTCAAACGAGCAGAGATGCCCCCGCAAAGCAACTGAACCTGCTCTAAAGCCCTGCAGACAGAAGAACCAAGGGCTGCCTCTCCCTCTGGCAGGGAGTTGCTCGGTATAGCCTCATGCCAGCTTGGCTTGAGGGGCATCAGCACATCTATTTGTGCTGAAACATGTCTCATCAAAAGAAGAACACAGGGTTAACTTTTCCTCCCATCCAAATGCAGAGCTTTGACTTCCAGAGGTTATGAATACTGCAAAAATTGCAGATCATAAATCAGGATTTTTTTTCTCCTATCTTCATTTTATTTATACTTTTGGTGCCTTGAGAGACTTTTTGCTGCCTGATTCCCTGAGTCTGCTGTCTTTGGAATTGTATGTTGGGAAGAGTGGGTTGCAGGGAGATTTTGCACTCTGTTCATGCTAGGATGACTTTGCAGAGATGAGTGGGATAAATTAATTTGTTTGAATGTGACAGGAATGATCAAGGGATGATGAGCCCTTCAGTCAGTGCGTTTTTCAGGATTTCTAGTGATCGGAAAGGCCAGTTTCCATAGCAAATACCATATCCCAAGGTGGGATGTCTATTGTTTTCTCTCTAGTTTGGTTTCCATTAGTTACAAATGTGGATACATAATTCTTCAGAAGGGCCTCAACTGAGAGAACAAATAATAAAGTTGTAAGACTCTTGTAAAGATTTTGCACTGGAAGTTTTTATTTTAATGTTCTGGAAAAATATGCCTGATTAAAAGCTGCTGCTGAGAAATCACTGCAAATACTGACAGTCCTATCCCCTTAGTTAAACAGGCACTGGCCTTCTGCAGCCTTGAAGGGAAGGGGCCAAGCACTCCAGCAACTGCCAGCACAAGGGCTGCCAGCAGAATTAAATAGCTACTTCCAGCTTTTCCTGCTCTTGCTACCCTTGTGTTAGAGCCACAAGCCTCAAAGGAATTATTGCCCTCTGTTAATTTTATATTCTCCTTCTGTCACTGTCTGTGACTTTCTGACATTAAAATATCCTTATTCAAGTGCAGTGCACATCAACTCTTCTTTGCCTTTTTTTTTTTCCAAGTATTTAAATAGGATTTGCTAGTGGTGATTGTGTGTTTGTCTCTGTTTACATACATCACTATGATTTGTCTGTGCATCAAGTGTTACCAGATGTTTAAGACAGAAGAGAAGAGAAAGACACTTGGGGGGGGAAAACCCCAGTACCAACAGCAAGGCAAGGCCGGGGTTACACCCTATCAAGAGGGCAAATTCAGCCTTGGTAATAGTTGGCTGGGAAAAGGAAGATGGGGAATGTCACAGTGTTTTGGTAAGTGGATTGGAGTCTGCTTGTATTTTAATAGCCTTATCACATTGCCGCAAAAAAAAAAAAAAAAATCTGTAGCTGCTGTTCTGTTCCTCTGAGACTGATGAGAGTGTGTGCAAGAACTGGATTCTTTTAATAGTAGTAGTTTGCGTTGCTCTGTGTGCGCTTCACTCAGCCAAGCACTCAGGCATTCTGCTAACTTTCAGCACGTATTTCCCTGCAAGTAACCAAGACTCATCACACTGTGTCCTTTCCCCTGTGAATCTGGCATCCTATCTGGTAAAGGATTTGTTTGCTTAGGTGTGTTTCAAAAGCGCAACTTAGATTTTCATTTTAAATGGAAAAAAAAAAGAATATTTTATTCATCCTATTCAATAAAGTGTTTGCAGCACTCTTTACTTCTTGTTAATAGAAGCCTTGCAAGAAATAAAGCCTCCTAAGGAAGACCCTACCAGTAGGGTCTATACAAAATTAAAAAGGAAAACTATCTCAAACAACAGAACTAAACCCATGTCCTTCCCATGCAGATTTTTCATAACAACTCCTGAGGAATTTGATATTGATAGAGAAATCAGCTCTTTTACCTTTGTTAAATTTTTAGTGATGCCTTGAATGGCTAAGCAGAAATGTAATAATCTTCTGTTAATTCTGTAATTCTTCTATCAGCTGAAGTTTACTTTGAATCCAGGTGCATGCTGCTTTTCTCATGGAACATCCATGCACTACTTCACTGGCTTTGCATATTTAAGCTTCCTTCTTTGTTTCGCTGTGTCTCTTAGCAGCTTTTATTGCTATTTGGTAGCAAGCATCCAGCACCTCTACACAGTGCACCAGGAGGATAAGCATTAGTGCTCCAGTAATCATGTCCAGAGGGAACTTCTCGTGCAAAGAGAGCAGTTTTCCGTTTTCCACCTCTTGGTGGAGTGCTGGACCTCCCCTAAACCAGTCCTGTGCCCCCAAAGCGCTTTCAAATAACTGCAGAGTTCTAAGTGTAAAACTCACCACTTAATGGTGGTGTTTGTGTAAAGGTGCATTTATATAGTTGTGATATAATAGAGTATTAGTGGTAGCTAGTGTGAAAGAATGGGCAGGTTTATGGCTATTTGTGTCACTGAGCTTTTACAGGTGACTATTTCTACGTACAGTGCTGGAGCTGCAGCCCTTGCAGCGCCCGGCGCAGCGGCAGCCCCCATGCAAGGTGAGGTCCGTAGTCACCCTTGCCCTCTGAGCCTTCCGTGAAGAGCCCCTGCATGAGGAGGGTGCCCTGGAAGCAGAACAGCAGCTTTTTTAACAATGCTGACATGTGCCCGAGTGCCTGGGGACAACGAAGGCAGCGTCTCATGGCAGTGACTTAGCCAAGGTTCCATCAGTGACCTGAGCCAGAAAGGTGGCTACGCAGTACTTTTTCTGGGAAAGATTTTGATAAATATTTGGTCTTAGGAAATACATCCCTAAGGCATAAGCTTAATCTTCAGAGTTTTCATGCAACCCAGAGGTAAATGGCCTCTGCAACAGATGTATTCTGTGGTAGTAGGAGGAGTGAAACACTGCCCAAGGCCCCTTTCCACCCCAGGCCATCCATCATCTCTTTTGTACCTCTCAAAATGCAGCATTTCTCCCTTCAGCTGTCAGCAAAGGCAGCTTCTCCCCCGTGCTGCTTCATTTCAATTTCTTTACATTGAGGATGAATGTGGTACAGTGAGTCATGTAGTAGTAAATTGTATATTCACTGTGCAAGCAATGAGTATTTAAAATTATGGAACGCACAGTGCAGCCAGCTGACAAATGTGGCTAACTCATGCAGATTGTGGGAATTCACCCACCTGGCTCAGCAAGGTTCTTGGCCAGGTTTCCCTGCAAAAGCGGAGAGAAGACCTGCAGCATTACACAGCTCTTCACAGGCTTTGCTGCACTGAGCTGATGTTGCATGAAGGACCAGGCATCACCAAGGCACACTGTCACCTTCAAAATTACATTTCTGCCTTAAAATGATTTAAAGACTTCTTTATATCTGGTATTGATAAGTTATCAGAAACATTAAGTTCTTTAGATTTTCTTGGTGCACAGGGCAGGTGTTTTTGTAGTTTTTTAGGCTTTCTCAGGCTGAGAACCCCCAAAAATGTATTTCTGATATAATTAGACAATCATGTATGCTCAGGACTTCCTAGTTACAGTATTTCCAGTCAAGAAATATGAAATCTTTCTTTTTCAATTAGAGGAAGGTAAGCTGGTAGTGGCTTTTAACAGGAAGATACTCACATTTATGCTTCATGTTCCAACCTGTGTGTCCAAAAATGCAGACTGCCTGCAGTGTGATGCAAAATTTTGTGTGTGCATTTGCTACAGTGTTGAAACATGCCTGCACATCAGTAAGAAAACAGCAGTGCTTCTTCCTTTTTCTTTTCCTTTTTCTTATAGATGCTAGTGTCAGTACAACAAATGGTACAGAGTCATAACTGCCATTTATGTTTGGACTGTGGTGAATGTTACAGTTGCGATTCTCTTAATTCATTTGTGTTTTCCAGTTTGGGGCCTGTACAGGGCCTAAGAAGTTTCTTGGATTTTTAATTTCTGTCTTTTTCAGATTCGGCCATAGTTTCTTATTTTTAATGTGCTGTACAAAGAAAGTACGTGGCCAAATGCAATATATATTTGTTTAAAATATATTTTTGGCTGTTTGGAAAAAAATACTTAAAATGTTATTAAGTGACACCAGTGTTTTCATTTTAGTTGAAGTATTTATTGTATTGACTCCTTAGAAATCAAAACTGCAGGGAGATTTGTCTAGTAAAGTCTTGATTTTTGTGGTTCAGTCTCCTCTGCTATTTTTGTGGTGTGGAAACCTGTCTTGTAGAAGTAGTGCCGAGAACGGTACTGCATTAAACGTCTGCCAAATAGAGACTTCCAGTCATCGCTGACTTGTGCTGATTCACAGCAGCAGCCTAAAAATGTGAACACTTGCGCCAGCTTCCAGCCCTCGGATCTGCCCAGAGCAGTTAATAGGGCAGTAGTGCAGCCTGATTTAAGCGCTGCAGTGAGGAATTAAAAAGGCAGAAAGGAAATACTTTTTTATGCATCGTCAGCAGCTCCAGGTTAGGTTGTGAGCCCATAATGCTATTTTCTCTGTGCAGTTATATTTTGTTATTTCAAAGACTAGGCCTTTATGCACAGCTCCCTGGGCAAGGAGGCTTTTCACTATTAGTTTCTGTAAAGGTGCAAAGTATTCAACCTTCCTTTAGTTGCTCTTTGGCTTAGCATTTCACAAATGCAGTATATGAATAGAAGAAAATCTCTGCTGTCAGCGGGTCGCTGTTGGGAAGGTTGGCATCCCGAGTGTTACAGGAGGCATCGTGTTTCCTAGCTCATGTCCCAGTGGCTGCCCCTGAGCTTGCCATGATGGACCTTGCAAAATCACATTTGTGTGCTCCTGAGTAACTGGTGCTGAGGCGTTTTGTGCGTGTGGGGAGTATGAGAGGTGCCTGTAGAGGAGCTAAGGTGCTTTTAGCTAAAAGCAGGAGCACCTCGGTGTTACAGCAGCGTGCGTCCTTACACCGTGTGCTCACGTGCCATCACGTTGGCAAGCGTGGGATCAGTTGTGCAGCTCTTCCTGCCTATCGAGGCCCTCCCTGCACACTGGTGAACAAGGTTAGAGCACCAGCACAGCACCCCCAGGCTGCGTGAGGCAACCGAGCTCGTGTGAGGTTCAAAGCTATCCATACAAACAGTATTATATGGAAAAATCCAGTGCAGTTGGCCTTGCTACATTTGGCATTAATTTGATGCTGGTAGGGATTTAATGTATTTGTAATGAATAAGAGATGTATATTCATCACAGTCATTTTATACCTCTTTTTCTGCACCCACCTTGGGCATGGTCCCCTGACATGTGTAGGCCTGCACAGCTCTGTCCTTTTATGGAGAAAGTAGCGTTTTGATCTTCTTTGCAGGGCGCACAGCTGCATAGTTAGGGCCTTCATGCATGTAATGTGTGTCGAGAGTTTAATTTTGCTGTGGCTAGAAAATATGCCTAGCAATTATGTTTTTGTGTGAATTCAGTTTCAATCATTAATTTGCTGATTGGTTTTTTTTTAAAATTGCATCTTCTGAAAGTTTTCAAGCTGTGTTTTTAAAAAAAAAAAAAAAAGAAGAAGCCATTGGATTTTTAATGGGAATTCACCATTGGTTCATTCTGTGTTAATTCTTTATTCTTCTTTCCTAGCTACTGATGCTACTCATAGCTGTTTTGCTTTATAGAGTAGGATCACGGAGATGTTTTTTCCTTCTCCCTATGGCTTTCTGGGATTTTATAGTAAGGCAATGTCTGTGTCCTCTGGAGAGGAAAAATAGTAATAGCACCTGCTCATCAGTTTGAAGAAATATCAGTAGCTTTACACATTATATGGAGGGTAGTGCCTATTTTCTAGGAAAACCATAAACATTGGCATATCCAAGATGGCAAGAAAAGAGAATTTCTCCCCATACAAGCATCTGTGAGAGGTCCTGAGACCAAATCTTACATAGACTTGGGGACTGGGGGATTTCAGTAATTTGGATCTCACAAGTCTAAAAGTGAGGCTGTAGGAAGATGGAAAGACTCAGGAATGTGGGACCTTGAACTCGCTTAGGGGAGTTCTGCTGAGCTAATATGGTGGTTTGAAAGCAGTGCCTCCTTTGATGATAGGGAAATGTAGCTGTTTCCCTATTCTTGGTATTATTTACAAGAAATACTTAACACCTCAGACAAAAAAATCTAATATTAAAAAAGAATAAAGATGCAATTAGATTACAATAACATTTGTTGTCTTTTTTTTTTTTCTCTCTCTCTAATCTGTTTTACCAGACTGTTTTGAGGATTGTGGTCCTTGGCATATGGGATTATATTGAAAACAAAATAGAGGTAAGCACTCTTCCTCTTTGTCTAGTTTTCTAGGCAGGCACAGCAGGAGTATTAAGGACTGCTTTGGGTGGCTTTGTTATAGACCTCACGCAGTACAGGTGTCTTAACTGATACTCAGAGGCGGAAGCACATTTCTCTTGGCATATATGTGTATAGAGAGCTGTATGAGGTAGTCCCTTTTCCTACAAGAGTGCAAGATTCAGCCATATTTAGAAGAACTTTTATTTCAGGGGTTGAAAAATGTGCATTTTGGTCCATGTGGGTATGAATTTTGTTGTTAGATCTGTGTTAGTCGAACTGTTGACAGCACTACCCAGACAGAATGAGCAATAGGGGCAGAAACTGTTACATGACTTGTGTAACCCATTCCCATAATCAAGTTGAAATTAGAACTGATTGCAAAATTTTCAGCAGTTTTCTGATAAAAAAAAAAATAGCGATTTAGCAAACCTCCCCCCCCAAATTTCATGTGACTTTTTCTTAAAACAAATCTCATCTTTAAAAATATTGTAATTTTAACCTAAAATTAAAACGTAAGGTAATGCACGTGTTAAAAGTAACATGTCTTCCCAATTCAAGGAAAAATCTGCAGGTCAAGAAAATTAAAAACTCTTTTTTAGTGTTGTCCGAAAAGCTAATGTTGCAGAGAATGCAGCAGGAAGAAATTTATTTTTTTCATTGGGTTTAAGTGAATTCAGCTGTCTGCCTGCTTTTGTAATAAATTTGAATACATTTTGACTTGTTTTACTAAAAACTTGAAGTGAAACTTGCGTCATTGATGCAGAAATTCTGTTTTATTGAGTGAAACACAGCAGTTTCAGAGAATTTAATTTGATAATGTGCAGCGGAGTCATTTAAAAATGTTTATTTTCAATACATTGAGTTTTTGTGCAAAAGTTCTGAATGTGTGTTGCTTACAAAAACTGTATGCTGCTTCCCTGTTAGTTGGTGGTCTTTGGCAGTTGGGAAGGGTCTGGATGGGAACAAGAATGTGAGACGACTATCCTTTTGGGCAAGTGTAGGACAGAGGCAGCACAACTGCAGGTTTGCTGTGAAATGTGTTAACGCACACGTTTCTCCTCCTACACCTTGCACAACTACTTTTTCTGACCCAATCTCCAATGCAGCTAGTGTCATACGAATCCTTCTGAGTTCTTATTTGCCAGAATTCTTGAGAACTTAGCTGCCTGTGGATGAGTCTGCAACGGGTGTGCAGACTGCTATAGGCAGGATATGGCCAGGAGCCATCTAATCTCTTTGCTCCGTCTCTTTCTACTCGTCGTCTTGATCTCTTCATTTAGACAGTAAGATCTATGGGCAGGGACTGTATCCTCATTTGGATCAGCGTTATGCCGAATAACAGGTAGTAAATAGCAATGATATAAAACTCTTTGGTTTTAATAATTTTTATGCTCTCACCTCTACTTGGAGATTTTGGCCAGTAGATCCGAATGCTTTTCACTCCCTCCCTTCCATCACACTTTCCCTGCTCACCTTATGATCTCTGGGTGAATCATGAAGGGTTTCTGTTGTACTGCATGAAAAGGATGGAGCCTTCCTGGGACTTGGCCGCTCCCCTGCTCCGTTCAGATATGTTTTATAACGTTGCTTTTGGAGGAAGTCAGAGCATTTTTTTTATGAGGAAAGTTTTGAAAAAGTAATTTCTCCCTAGGTGTTTGATGGTGCTGTCATAATCTTGTCCTTGGCACCAATGGTGGCCTCAACAGTGGCCAATGGCCCCAGCAGCCCATGGGATGCTATCAGCCTTATTATCACACTACGAATATGGAGAGTGAAGAGGATCATTGATGGTGAGTGACTGTGGAAAAAAATGAGTTTAAAAATATTTAAAAAAATAACAAAGTTGCTTGTTACTACTGTTCTTATTGTTTTCCCTCCTCCTACATTTGAAACCACTGAACAGAAGAGAGTTATGTGGAGGAGAGTAGGTCTCGAGTTCATGAAGATGTCTGTTATTCCCCTGTGAATCTTTACAATGAATGATTTGCTTTTTTTGTGAGGCACCTTCGTATTCCTGAAATGAATCTGACCTGCCCCTTTTCCCATCTCCTGCCACCAGACAATATTCCTGATTGTGCAAAATAATTGCTTCTAATTGGCTTTTCTGATATGGGCTGCACCATGTCCATATCCCCCCAGGTAGCTCTGTGTTAATGCTTTCTTTTCCAAGTTTTTGCCTGTAGTATGATGTTTATGTCAGATTCCTGAGTGTTTCTGACAGCGGGGGTTCTCTGCTGAAGGTGCTTTCTGTGAACCTGGCATGCTCTGCAGTGTAAGAAGGAGGTAGTTTTGCCTGGTACATCAGTACAGTTTTGCCAAGGCAAAAATGTGGGGAGGCATCAGGGGAGGTGAAAGCAAGTCAAGGTCACAGAGAACAGAACCAGCAACTGTGCCTGGAAGCAAGAACTTAAGGGAAACAAAGCTTAGGGGTGGTAGAGGACAGCTCTGCAGATGTAGGCTGCTTTGTGATAAGTGGTTTCAGACATTTTGAATTGCAAGGGCAAGAGGTGGGAAAGGAATAACTGAAGGGTTACTTTGCTCCAGTGTGAAAGATGAAAGTCAGGTTGTTATTTCTGGACAGATGCCCAGGACCCTCAGTATTCAGAGTTGAAAAAAATCATAGCCCTCTGCGTGAAGTGTCCAAGCAAAGTTGAGGGTCCCGTGTAGCTTCACAAAGCATCAAGAATTGTAGTGGCCCCAAAACACCTTTGCTGATAATACGAGTTTGCATTAAGTACAACTGGAGGAAAATTTCTAGAGGCCTTCAGAAGACTTGCTGAAAACTGGGCCATAGAGACCTTCTTCTCTTGAAAAGCAATAGAAGTGAAATGCCTTTGTGTTTTAAAAACCTCCTTCTTAGTCTGCTGTTTCCATGAAGGACATATTTTTGCAACCATGCCTAGGAATTAAATTTTTAGAACTCTGGATTAATTCTATTCCCAAGAGAGCCTTACTGTTGAAATTTTGAGAGGATGGGCACGACTCCAAGCAGAAGGTCCTCCTACCCAGCAGTTCAGGAAATCTGTGGTAAACACTGGGAAAACATCTGTATTGGTGCAGAAGCTAGGAAGAGCTTGATGCATTTCAGAGCAGCCAGGCAGATGGAGGTATGACTGAACAAGGTCTAGACCCTGCTGATGACCTGAGTTGTACGTGTTAGAAAGACAAAGAAATGTTCTCATTCTGTTTCTAGAACGAATGATCCAGTTCTTTATCTGTCAGTGAAAGGGGTGAAATTCTGTGGCCTGTGCCACAGAACTGGCAGGAAGATCCCTTCTGGCCCGAAGGTCTGCAAAGGTATTCCCTCTGATAAAAAAAAACAACTCACAGCTGGGTTACTTTAAGTGCTTATTTGTGTTTTCCAGCCTATGTCCTTCCAGTGAAAGTGGAGATGGAGATGATGATTCAGCAATATGAGAAGGCAAAGGTTATTCAAGATGAGCAGCTGGAAAGACTAACCCAGATCTGCCAAGAACAAGGGGTAAAGTTCACTTATCTCTTTCGTTGTTTGTAACTTGTCCTGGCAAATGAAATGGTTTACGTACTTTGCTGCAAGCTAAGGCTTGAGGAATATCACTAGGAGTTTTGTTGCAAGTTGACAGGTCTTGGCATTAGGGAGTTATCTAGCTGCGGTCAGGATCTGGGTCTTTGTCAAACTGCTGTTGTCTCCCTCTGCAGCTGTGTGTTTAAGTTGAGGAAAACAAGTGTGAGGAATAAAAAGCAATGGTTCAGTATTTGCTTTATTGAATAAGTATGGACAGTTGGACATACTATTCGGCACATGCAAAAATCATTGCCACTGTGGGAGACTGCAGCTGTATGAAGGTAATAGTCCCAGGAAAAGCGTATGCAGTTGAAAACTAACAAGTTGCCTAAACTCCTGTTTGCTGTGAAGTTCTCCTGCTTTAAATGCAGCAGGCAGCTTCCCTGTAGGTCAGAGACTCTTGGCAGACTTAGAATGCTGCAACAGAAGCTTCTAGTTGCTGGAAGCAGGTCAAGATTTCAGGCTCTTCCCAGGTCCCCAAGTGTTCAGTGACTCAGAGAAAGTGAAGCTTAAAATATTTCAGACAAATATGTTTACATTAAAAAGAAGATGTAAAAACAGTTTTGCATAGTGAACCAAGAGTCTTGAATTTACAGGTTGTCCCATAAAAATGAGCTCATGAATAACTTGCTTAAGGTAGAAAGCAATCATGTATCATCAGGCTAATAGCATTCAGCTGACCATCAAACTGCAATAGAATGAAACCCTATGTAACTTATTTATATTGTTTCAACTATAAGGATAACTGTGAGGTGTCTGAGTAGAGCTTCGAGTTCTTTTTTTAGCAGCAGTGCCCCCTTCACACTTGTGAGCAGGTGATTTTCAAATGCAGAATCAGGAGAGCTCTAAATATGAACGTCTTGATCAGACAAAAAGTTGAAGGGCCTGAATATACAGCAGGGGAGGTGGTATATCCCAGAACAGGCCAACTGCCCAGCAGATGCTTAATCTGAAGGAAGGATTTAAGTGCCCATCTCTAAATCAGGAACCATTGGGTGAGCTAAACCATCAGGTCCTTAAGTGGCTTTTGGATTTGGGTCCCAAATGTCCTGGTTCCCAACCTAGGATTCAGCAAATGAACTCCTGATGGCAGTAAAGCGCCTTCTCTGTGTTGTAAATTTAGAAGACCCATTGGCAATGTGTGCTGTTTAGTACTGCTGCTTTTGACAGCCTGTTAAACTAACCATAAAAAAATTCTAAACCTTAGACTTGACTGCTGCAAAAAAAGATTGCGTTCGAACATGTATGTATTGTCAGTGGCAAAAGTGCAGTCCTCTTCATATAATTTGTGTGGTGATACTAATTGATTCGTGCTTCTGCCATGGCTGGGAAATGGTATATACCTCGCCCTATAAAAGAGGGTTTCTCACTTGACCAAGCCCCTGTGGCACCCCGGAGCCGATTTCCGTAGCGCTATTGCAGTACTTTCTGTGTCAGCCCATGCTGTTGTGCTACTGTTCTTCCCTAATGTGACAATCATACGTTCTGAAACATTCTGTGTTTAGGAAATGGATTCTGTATCCAACTAACTCTGTCAATCCCCAAACAGTATTTGGTGTTCTTTCTTAGTCTTCTGTAAGAGTGGACTCTCTTTTATTCCAAATGGAGTTCAGAAGCAGCATTTGCCACCCTCCATTCTGATCGCTGTGCCTCCTTATCTGCATGCCAGGCTTACAAAATGTTGAAGCTTAGCAGCCACAAACCTGAACTCTGGTGGTTAGCACAACTGTATATCAAACACAAGGAAATACTGCATTTCTAGATGAGTAAATTTGTGGAAACAGAGCAGGTTCCCTCCTGGCTTTCAAGTGTCATCAGCCATGGAAAAATATGGACTATGGAAAAATGACAGCATACTAATCTCTCTTATTTTACTGTCCTGAGTTCCTGCCAAACAAATGTCTCGGCTGTATAATATGAGGTAAATGTACTGATTTGCTGCAGCTAGCAGCATAAGACTGTGACACTAGTACTGCATCCTTCCTTTGTAAATTAATAGCTTCATAATTCAGTCAAGAACAAGTTGTCAGCATTATAATATTCGCATTAACATTGTGTACGCTATCAGGTGCGAAAAATATGTCCTAATAGCATTTAACGTCTAAAATTCTGCCAGGTTTTTACTTTTTCATTTGATCATCTTTCCTGGCTTTTTAGAGAGTTGCCTGTTCCTGGAATTTGAGTGTGGATGCCTGCGTTTTTGAGGGAAGGGTTGTCTACAGTCATCTGGCTGCTCTCATCTATGAAGCCACAGCAGGGAGGGCTTCCAGGTTGCCAGCTTTGTGTGGTTGGGTAGCTGGGAGCCACCTAGAACCACATCTACGTGGAGGGCTTGCCCTCATGCCCCAGGTACAAGCTAGCTAGATCTCTTCTGGGCATAGAGCTGGGGCAGCCAGTGCTCCCTACCAAGCCCAAGACCGGGCACCCACCGTGGCTGCCTGCATCCCAGCAGTGTGACTGTCGCTACTGACTCATCCTGAGGCCGCTGCTTAGTGGGCAAACTCATTATTTGTGTTGATTTATTAATTACAGATAGAATTGAAAACATGCCCATTAGAAAGGTTGCTTAGTGCTTCCTTTTCTAAGACCCTTTGTTTCCTACTGCTTTGCTGCATACCAGCCAATTGGGCTTGAAATTTTCAATGCTTGGCATCTTCCCCAGATTAAATTATTTTAAAAGTTTCAAATGAAGTATTTGTACTTTCTGAAGAGCAGCTGGGAAAAACTAGTCATCCTTTTTTTTCCAATTTAAAAAGGAAGGAATATAGGCCTATTCTCTGAGATGCCTTATGCACTCCTGTTTTGTGAATAGTACTTACCATTTTGTAGGCAAGTGGACTTCCTGTCACAGATGAGTTTTTAGCTGTACTTTTAAACAGCAACAGATGCTTTGTGTTTTGAATCTACCTTGTGCATATGCACAAAGTGGTGGAACTGAAGTTGTAAATGCAACCTCTGTCTGGCATTTCTTTCCAAGTAGGTTTGTTGACTGGGCTTGGCTCCTGACCATAACTGATTTACACAGTCAAATGTCCGTAGCTCTATGGTCAGTTTAAAGGGGCTGGGCTTTGTGGAAATTGTCTCAGGAATGTGATTCATCCCATGGTTGCAGAAATACTTCTCTTGGCCAAAGGTAAGATATACAAAAGCAGCAATGAATGATGAGAGTGTTGGACTAGAAGGAAAGGAAAATCATCTGTTTGCCAACTTATACTAGTTTAAGGTGGTGGTGGTGGTGGTTGTTTCCTTTCTATAGGCAAAATCCAGAGAGAAGGAAAACTCAATGAAAAGGTAGGGTAGCAAAATGAGGACTAGGAGAAGTAGCTGAAGGGTACTATCTGCACTGTACCAGCAAGCAACATTCTCCCCAGAAATCACCCAGTTGGGATTTCCGCCATGTTTTTTCATATGCCTAGGGGCAAGATTAAGATAATTTCACAGCCCAGTTGATCTGTAATCACCCACCTGTGTCACTGCCACCCCATCCATCTTTATTTTGGAAAGTAGCCCTCATTCCTGGGATGAGATGAGAGCAGCCATGTTCTTCGTTTGCCTTCCCCAGGGCCTTAAATCCAGTTTCCCTTCAGATACTCCTCTCCATTTTTTCCATACAAGGTGTTTTGGGGTAAGATTAGTGGTGGCCACCAGGCCAGTGTCTCGGCGTGCCTGTCCCAGGCACTAACCATGAAAGAAGCAGTTTGTGCCAGACCTCACGTTCATGAGGAAACTCTTGAGCTGTCCCTTCTCTCCATTCTTCACATACGTCCCTTCATCTCAGTTTTATTTTGTGTTCATCAATATATGTGATATAGACCCTTTTAATGAGAAGAATATGAGCTGTTTTCATCAGCCTAAGCAGGAAACCGCACATTGGCCTGTGTAGCAGCAAACAGTGCAGCAAGCAGAAGTGGGAAAAGTGGAGTCCCCCCCCCAAAAAAAAAAAAAAAAAAAAAACACACACACACAAAAAAACCCTAAAAAAAAAAGGCAACCTCCCTTTGTCTTGCTTTTTAAATTAATGTTTCCTGAGTCAGTTGTGTTTTTCTGGACAGTGATAGCATATCACAACTGTAAAGTACATTTCCATTTCTGAACAACATTGAAGATGTACTCTTCCAAACATGAAAACTCTTTCCAGATGTTCATTTTTGGCTAACCATACATCTGAAAACCAGAATATATTTTATGAATTATAGTTGCCTGGACCACCACTTTTGTCTCTGTAGTACCCCACTGACACTGTTGAATTGTTTGCTGTTTTGTTTATTCTCTGCTGGCCAAGGGAGATGTCATTAAATGGGAGTGGAACCTTAGGGCAGTCAAGGCAGAAAGTACTGAGATGGCTGCACAAGACTTCACAAAACATGAGAAACATTAGTTGTCACAGCAACAGGAAATTCAGAAAGTTGGGGAGATAATACTGGGATTATTTATCAAAAATAATACATTGATTAAAGAGAATACATTACTGATTATATTGTTTGATCAAAGTCACTTCGGTGAAGCTACAAAATGAAGAAAATTCTGAAGTTTCATTAACAATGTAAATTCCAGTCAGGGAAGGTTGGTGTTGTTTTCTTTGGAGTCAGCTGTAAAGGAATTTCCGTTTCTGTTAATAGATTGGCATACAATCTGTTTAACTTTCCTAAGAGTCCTTTAGGTGACTGCAATCCAGCTAAGACTGTGTGTTCAGCTTTATCACAAGAGCCCCTTTTCTGTCAGCTTATGCAGAATTAGGTTTTTCATCATTCTCAAAACTGTAACAAGTATGAAAGATGTAATTTCTTTTTTATCTTGAAATATAATTTGTACAACAGCTGCTAGTTTAATGACAGGGCTATTTAGCTGGTAAAATTACCTATCGGAGAAATAACTTATGTTCTCCTTTTGCAGTAATTTTAATTTATTTCTAACTACCAGTCATTTTCTTAGTGACT